GTCCCACCAAAATCGGCGCGAACGGGCTCGTGAGATCAGCCAGGGTGGCTCCCCCTTGGGGCTCCCAAATGATGCCCCTGGCAGCGTTTTGTGACCATGAGGCTCTCAAGAGATACATGTTGGGGAGGCCAAACGGCAATTCTAGCTGAGGCGTCCCACCAAAATCGGCGCGAACGGGCTCGTGAGATCAGCCAGGGTGGCTCCCCCTTGGGGCTCCCAAATGATGCCCCTGGCAGCGTTTTGTGACCATGAGGCTCTCAAGAGATACATGTTGGGGAGGCCAAACGGCAATTCTAGCTGAGACGTCCCACCAAAATCGGCGCGAACGGGCTCGTGAGATCAGCCAGGGTGGCTCCCCCTTGGGGCTCCCAAATGATGCCCCTGGCAGCGTTTTGCGACCATGAGGCTCTCAAGAGATACATGTTGGGGGCGCCAAACGGCAATTCTAGCTGAGACGTCCCACCAAAATCGGCGCGAACGGGCTCGTGAGATCAGCCAGGGTGGCTCCCCCTTGGGGCTCCCAAATGATGCCCCTGGCAGCGTTTTGTGATCATGAGAGAGTGTGAGTGTGAGTGAATGTGACTGTGAGTGAGTCTGAGTGAGAGTGAGTCTCATCTTATCTTATCGAGTCCTATCCTATCTTACCTTTATTACCCTCTATCTTATCTTATCTTGAAATCTCTTATCTTGTCTTAGCTTATCTTATATCAACTCATCTTATCGCATCAGGTCTTGTCTTATCTTATTACTCCATAGGCTGTCTTATCTTATCTATTATCCGACATTGTCATATATCTTATCTTACCTTATCATATCTTGTGCTATCTTATCTTATCTTGTAGTATCTTATCTTGTCTTGTCTTATCTGGTGATTATCATTTGGAGGAGGGAGGCGGGAGGCGGGAGGAAGGAGGAGGAGTGGGAGGCGTCAGAGTAATAACAAGAACCCCAATCCTTAGGATATGGGGAAAAATCACGACGGGCGGTTTTTCCATATTTTCGGCCTCCGGGGGCCCTTCCCCGGCCTCGGGGCCGTCAAAAAACGACCCAGGACGGCAAACCGGTCCCGGGGAAGGGGTCCAGACCTCTGGGGGTCGACGGCGTGAAAAAATCACGACGTCGGGGGTCTGGGTAGAGGGTCGAGGTCCCCAGACATCGGGCGTCTCGAAAGAATCGAGGCAGAGGTTTTGCATAGTTTCTGGCCTCTCGGGGCCCTCACCGGGCCTCGGGACCGTCAAAAAACAACTCGGGGTGAAACACCGGTCCCAGGGAAGTGGTCGGGAGGTCGGGAGCCCGCGTCTTGAAAAAATCGAGACGTCGGATGTCAGGGTCGGTTCGGGGAGGGCTCAGACATCCGACGCCTCGATTCTTGTCGAGGCGCGGGCCCCCGACCTCCCGACCACTTCCCCGGGACCGGCTTTTCATCCCGAGCCGTTTTTGGACGGTCCCGAGGCCCGGCGAGGGCCCCGCGGAGGCCAGAAACTATTACAAACCTCTGCCTCGATATTTTCGAGGCGCCCGATGTCGGGGGGCACCTTCGAAGCAGATGGAGTCGAAGGATCCGCCAGTTCTTTGCACGATCTCGGGGCTCGGGGTGGCTTCCAGCAGCGGCGCCGCGTCGAGGGCATCTGCCGGGGGTGCCAGAAGCGCCTCGAACGGCCGCCCGAGGGCCGAGTTGTGGCCCGAAGGCCACGTCGGTCGGACCGAGGCATAATAGCTCGGACCCCCTCGCGCTGTGGAGAAAGCCCGACGGGAGGTTTGTTCGCCAGTTTCGGCTTCCGGGGGCCCTGCCCGGGCCTCCCCTGCAAGACGTACCTAATAATATTAATAATAATAATAATAATAATAATAATCATAATAGTAATAATAATAGTAATAATAATAATAATGATAATAATAATAATAATAACATGATAATAATAATAATAGATGCGTTTAGCTGCGATCGCGCCCTGGCGCAGGCGAGAAGCCCATCTTATCTATTTTTTTGCCGCTGGGGAAATGAGCAACCGCAATAGATGTTTAGATGTGTCTTCCAGGGTCGGGACCGTCCAAAAGCGACTCGGGACGAAGAAGCGGTCCTGGTGAAAGAGTCCAGACCTTTGGGGGTTGGCGCGGTGAAACAATCACGACGTCGGGGGTCTGGGAAGATCGTGGTCGGTGCGGGGAGGGCATCCTCATGATCTTCGTGTTCGCGGGATGTTTTTTTGCATCCTGGGGGAGGGTGCTCTCGAATGTCACCACCCACCAAACCACCCCAACCCAACCCGAAGGCTTCAATTTACCCTCGATTTCCAGTGTGGGGGGGGTCGGGAAACATTGAAAAAACACATGTGGAACCCTTACCCCCCCCAACCCGAAATTCGGGTCTTCGAGTTGGGTTGGGATGGTCTGGTAGGTAGTCAGAATTCTCTTCAGTCTGGCCAGCGGAGGTCTCATGTTCTTGCACGGTCCTAGGTCTAGGTCTGGCCGTGTAGCCAGGATCCACCCCGCCTCCGATGTCTCCCAAAACATGTCCGCGTCGCCGAAAAGTCAGCACTGGAGTTTTTTTTTTTGTCCCCAATGTTCGGCCCCATGGAGGCCCTCACATGGCCTCGAGACCGTCAAAAAGCGACGAAAGGATGAAAAACCCGTCCCGGGGAATGAGTCGAGACCGCCCATGCAGACGTCCGATATTTCGAGTTTCTCCCAGCGGGGCCCCACCAGGTCTGGGCCTCTTCCCCCGGACGGGCTCTTCGCCCGGAGTCCTTGTCTGACGGCCGGCCCCTGGGGGCCCCCCCGAGGCTGAAGACGGACGGAAGCTTCCGCGTCGAAGATTTTCAAGACGTTGGAGGTCTGGGCATGGCCGAATAGTGATTGGAGCCCGACGCCCCAAAGTGTGAACCAGAATCGCCCAAAACCAGGGCCGCTGTAGCTGGTGCTCCTTCGGGTGACGGCACCTCCGGTCAGCGGAATGGGGCGCGCCACGGGGGGGCGGGGGCGCCCCGCATCACCAAACCAGGTCCCACTACTCGCAGTCCCGCTGAACCCGGTCCTGCCAACGCCCGATGGAGGCGAGTAGGTAGGGAGCCAGATGCGAACCCCACCCTCCCCCTCAGAACTCGTAGGGGGTAGGGGTAGGGTGCGCATGTGGCCCCCTGGTAGGCCGGGCGACCAGAGCACGTCGCCGTGCAGCTTTTTTTTGTTGGTCGGTGGCTTCCTGGGCATGGAGCTGCATCCAGAGATCCGGGGATGGACATGTTTTTTCGAGCCGAGCGGTTTCGCCCGGTTTCGGGCCCTGGGGCTCTCACGGGTCGACGCGGCTCGAAACATGGCGCAGAAAGACGAGCTTGGGGGCTCCGCTCGTGATTGTCCATGTCGTTGCAAGCATCGGAGAAGAGCAGGTGCATAACAATGAGCTCTAGTAGGCTCCGCGCGGACTTGTTTGATCACGCTGGGGGTCCCCTGGCGGCTCCGTCAGCGCTGCACTTGGCGCGCTCCGCGCGACAGAGGGGGTTCCAGCGCCGATCCCAGAAATTCAACTGCAGCTCCGAACCCTGACATCCGACGTCTCGATTTTTTCGAGACGCGGGCCCCCGACCTCCCGACCACTTCCCCGGGACCGGCTTTTCATCCCGAGTCGTTTTCTGACGGTCCCGAGGCCCTGCGAGGGCCCCGAGAGGCCAAAAACTATGAAAAACCTTTGTCTCGATTTTTTCGAGACGCCCGATGTCTCCACATGTCCATGGTAGTTATGCCCCTTCTGGCTCCTCTAGAGCAGCTCAGCAGGCCGGGCGGCCAGAGCACGACGCCGTGCAGCTTTTTGTTCGAGGGGGTCGGTGGCCTCTCCTAGGTGCGCGCGTGAGGCAGCGGCATGGGGTTCTCACTAGATTCCAGCCATGGGATTTTCGACACGCCGTGCACGCAGACATCGGGCGTCTCGAAAGAATCGAGGCAGCGGTTTTTCATAGTTTCTGGCCTCTCGGGGCCCTCGCCGGGCCTCGGAAACCGTCAAAAAACGACTCGGGATGGAAAACCGGTCCCAGGGAAGTGGTCGGGAGGTCGGGGGGTCGCGTCTCAGAAAAATCGAGACGTCGGATGTCTGGGCACGCCGCTCACTCCGTACACCCGCACGCTCCGTACACCCGTACATCCGCACACGCGAGCTGCAGTGAAAATGCTTGCTATCCCCCCGGAACCCCGAATTTCATCATCCCCAGGGGTTCACACCATCCGGGAGGCCTGGCTCGTAAGATCACACCAGAAAAAAAAGTCAGTGGATGGTTTTCGCTGAGGAGATCGACCGGGAACCTGGGAGCCCGAGAACCCAGAACCTATCGAAATTGGCCCGGAACGAATAACCAGGAACCCGGGAACCCGGAACCGGGAGCCCGGGAATCCAGCCTGCTACCAAAAATCGGCGGGAAATTGTCGCCTAATCTTTCAGCTTCCGCCAGGACCCCTTCAGTGCAAGCACCGATTGGGGAACAGCCTGCTTCTGTCGAGGGCAGGAAATCCACCCCGACAATAGCCACCCCGACAAACGAAACCGTTTCGTAAACGCACCCAGGGAAGGAGTCAAACCTAGGGCAGGGCCGCTTAGCGAAAACGCCCGGGGCCGTTTGGCAAACGCAGTTGTCTGGTCCGGGTGGTTTTTCCTCCCCCCAGACATCCGACGTCTCGATTTTTTCGAGACGCGGGCCCCCGACCTCCCGACCACTTCCCTGGGACCGGTTTTCCACCCCGAGTCGTTTCTTGACGGTTTCCGAGGCCCGGCGAGGGCCCCGAGAGGCCAGAAACTATGAAAAACCTCCGTCGCGATTTGTTCGAGACGCCCGATGTCTGGGCCTCGATCCTGACGCCGGGGCCCCCGACATCGGGCGCGCCGAGAGGCCCCCCGCCCTCGCGCGAGCCCCGCCCGCGGGCGGAGGCCAGCAGGCCGGGCGCACCGAGCGCGCCGCCGGTGCAGCCCCGCTCTGCTGGGTCGGTGGCGCCCACGGTGCCGCGCGGGGCTCCTGCGAGGGCGCCAGGCTGCCTGCGCTCCTCGAGGCCTCGGCCCTCGACGTCCACACGGTCCTCGCCGATCCCCCTCGCGGGCCCCCGATCCTCCTCGAGCCTCGATGCGCCTCGCTCCTCCTCGATCCTCCTCGATCCTCCTCGATCCTCCTCGAGCCTCGATATGCTCCTCGCTCCTCCTCGATCCTCCTCGATCCTCCTCGAGCCTCGATATGCTCCTCGCTCCTCCTCGATCCTCCTCGATCCTCCTCGAGCCTCGATGCTCCTCGATCCTCCTCGAGGCTCCCCGCCGCGGCCCCCGGCTTCTCTCAGCGGTTTGGGGGCCCATGGTGCTTCCGTCTTTGGCGGTGCTCTCCGGCCCTGGGTCCTCGGCCGCTCCGCGGGGGCCCCCCGCGCTGCGCAGCGGCGGGGCCGGCCGCGTCTGCCGCCGCCCGCGTGCCGAGTGCTCCGAGGCTGGGGTGTGTAGCCGTCTCCAGACGTCGGGCGTCTCGAACAACATCGAGACAAAGGTTTTGCATAGTTTCTGGCCTCTCGGGGCCCTCGCCGGGCCTCGGGACCGTCAGAAAACGACTCGGGATGAAAAACCGGTCCCAAGGAAGTGGTCGGGAGGTCGGGGGACGCGCCTCGAAAGAGTCGGGACGTCGGCTGTCTGGGGGGGCCATCGCCGGGGGGATCGCTCCTCGCGGGCTTCGCCGCCGGCCGGGGCACCAGGACGTCGGTTCCCAGGCGGTGGATGTGGAGATAAGTCCCCGCCTCGCAAGTGCTGCGCTGCCAGCTGCTCGCAGCCGGCGCCGCCCTCGGCCGCTCTCGGCTCCCGGGGCTCGCCTCCAGGCCGCGCCCTTTTGAAGGCCCCCCAGCGGCTCGCGGGCAGGTCGGGCAGCTAGGGGGGGGAAGGAGTCGTGCGGGCGCGGCTCCGCCCCAGGAGGGGGGCGCGATCTCTCCACGGTCCTCTTCTCCTTTTCCCCCCCCCGCCCTCGAGGAACCGCAAACACGGAACCAGGCGCGTGTCAGAGGCGACGAAGGGGCGAATAGCCCAGGGGAGAGCAATACATGTGTCCAGGGGCGCCGATGATCTATGTCTTCGACGAGGCTCCCGGGCGAACACGTGCAATGCCCGCCCCTTGGGCTATTCGCCCTTCTCGTCGCCGCCGAGCTTGGATCAGCGGCGGGCCCCGTTTCCACGCAGCGTCGACGCGCTACTTCGCCACGTCGGGCGGCGCTGGCTGCGTGCCTCGGGGGGCACACACGTTCCCCGTTCCGTGGACCTGGTGCCCACGCGCCAGATCCATGGATCCGTAATGCCCAGACCCCCTCGCGGTGTGAAAAAATCACGACGGGAGGCTTTTCGCTATTTTCGGCCTCCAGGGGCCCTCCCCGGGCCTCGGGACCGTCGAAGAACGATCCAGGAGGAGAAACCGGTCCTGGGGAAGGGGTCGAGACTTCCAGGCATCCCGCACTGAACAAATCACGACATCGGATCTCTGGGTAACCCACTTGGGCATCTGCCTGGCTCAGCAGGTCGGGCAGCAGGAGAGTATGCAGGCGTCGCGCGAGCGAGGCTCGTCCCAGTCATCCCTCGCCTCTGGGCCCTGGCTCGCCCGCGCCGCCCTCGTGGGGCCGGTCCGATGGACCGGAGCATCCTCGCCTCGCCTCGCCCTCGATCTCCTCCTCGTCGATCTCCTCCTCCTCCTCCTCCTCCTCCGCCTTCTCCTCCTCCTCCTCCTCCTCCCTCCTCCTCCTCGTGCTCGATCCAAGTCCGCCCGCCCTGTCGTTGGCGTGCTCGTGGCCGCCTGGGGTCGCAGTGCCAGGTGCTGGCCTTTCGCTTCTGTGGGGCGGGCGGGCGTGCGGGCTCGCGCGTCGCGTTCCTACCTTCGGCCTTCGGCTCTGGGGAGAGAAGTTCAGCCACGCGCAGAGGGGTGTGTGGGGGGAGGGGGAGGGCTTCTTAGAAGCACCCCTGCTTCTTAGAAGGCGCGGGCCTTATATCTATAAACGTAAGGCCAGCGCCTTCTAAGAAGCAGCCTCTTTCTAAGGAGCCCTCCCCCCTCCCTCCACCCCCTTGTGCGCGCCGCCGATAAGAGTCGACCAAGGATCGGCACGCAGGCTGCTGCAATGCCGCGGTCCGACCTCGTCATCCTCTTTCCTCCCCCCTCGCGCACCTCCACGCGTCCCCTGAAAGGGCAACTTCGATCCTCCTCCACGAAATGACGCCGTATCCACAGGCTCGCGGCCCAGGCCCGTGGGTATGGATATCCCGCCCACGACCTCCCCTCCTCACCCCCCTCTCCCCCTCTCCTGGCGCTTCGCTGTGCACGACATAGGGCGACGATCGTCGTCGCCGCCGCCGCCGCCGCCGCCGCCGCCGCCGCCGCCGCCGCCGTCGTCGTCGTCGTCGTCGTCGTCGTCGTCGTCGTCGTCGTCGTCGTCGTCGTCGTCGTCGTCGTCGCTGCCACAGAGCATCCCCTCCCCCACCGGCCTTCGGCCCCCGCAGCGCCCCCCAGGCGGCGCCGCCGGGCGGCCCGCCCGGCCCCGCCGGCGGCGGCGCTGCCCCCTGAGCCAGGGGGGTGCCCCGCGCCTCGGGGGCAAACGACAGGGACGGGACGGGCCTCGGGGGGGGGAGCCGCGCCTCGGGGAACGACGTCTCGCGATGGGGCAGCGTCTCCTCGGCGTTCTCGCCGGGGGGCGGGCTCCGGGGGGGGCCTCGAGTGCCTCGGGGGCAGCGTCTCGGGGGGGGGGCCTCGAGTGCCTCGGGGGCAGCGTCTCGGGGGGGTGCCTCGAGTGCCTCGGGGGCACCGTCTCGGGGTGCCTCGTGCCTCGGGGGGCGGGCTCATGGGGGGGAGCGCCTCTCACGGGGAGAATCCCCGGGGGCCTCGCGCGGCGCGCGCAGCACGCTTGCAGCATCCAGTCCGCACGTCTGGCCCGTAGGGTGTGGGACGACGTTCTCGCGGCCATGCTCATCCGACGGAGGTCGACGCGCACCCGGCGAGCATCCGGCCTTTGGGTCTCGAGCCGCCGCGCGAGGCCTCCAGGATTCTCGCCCCACAGGGCGCTGCAGGACACGTCAGGGAGGGATGCTCATCCGACGGAGGTCGACGCGCACCCGGCGAGCATCGGGCGTTTGGGTCTCGAGCCGCCGCGCGAGGCCTCCAGGATTCTCGCCCCACAGGGCGCTGCAGGACACGTCAGGGAGGGATGCTCATCCGACGGAGGTCGACGCGCACCCGGCGAGCATCGGGCGTTTGGGTCTCGAGCCGCCGCGCGAGGCCTCCAGGATTCTCGCCCCACAGGGCGCTGCAGGACACGTCAGGGAGGGATGCTCATCCGACGGAGGTCGACGCGCACCCGGCGAGCATCGGGCGTTTGGGTCTCGAGCCGCCGCGCGAGGCCTCCAGGATTCTCGCCCCACAGGGCGCTGCAGGACACGTCAGGGAGGGATGCACTGCAGGCGAGCAGGAAGTCGCGGAGTTGGCATGGTCCCGAGTTTCCAGGATCTCCCCAGGTTCCAGATGAGGAACTCCCGAGGATCCTCCCCAGGATCTCCCGAGTCACTGCAGGCGAGCAGGAAGTCGCGGAGTTGGCATGGTCCCAAGGTTCCGGGATCTCCCCGGGTTCCAGATGTCCTACTGTTCCGCACGGGCCCCAGAAGCGAGGGCCGCCAGATACTGAGGAATTTCTGGAACGTGCCCTTAGCCGAGGACGAGGATCGAGGAGGAGGAGAGGAGGAGGGGAGGAGGAGGAGGAGGAGAGGAGGAGGAGGAGGGGATGGAGGAGATTGAGGAGGAGGGAGGATCGAGGAGGAGGAGGAGGAGGAGGAGGAGGAGGAGGAGGAGGAGGAGGAGGAGGAGGAGGAGGAGGAGGAGGATGGCATCAAGGATGGCATCGTGCCGCAAATGGCAAAGTGCCGCAAATGGCGCTCATCGCCGATGTGGGGCCCGCTGGCCCCCCCAAGGAACGTCCAGTTGAGTCGTCGAGGAGAGCCCCTCGCCGATGCATCGGCGATGCATCGCCGGTTCCGGCACGGTGTGGCCCCCCCCGAGTTGGTCTCCACCCTTCGGGCGTTGCCAGAAGTGCCCCTGGCTCAAAGGTGCTTGGCCTCCAGAGCACCCCCCGATGTGGTCTTCACCCTTCGGGCGTTGCCAGAAGTGCCCCCTGGCCCAGAGGTGCCTGGCCTCGAGCACCCCTCACGAGGCCCAGAGGGCCCCAGAGGCTCCAGCGCGGAGCGAAAAGCTGGAGGGACCCCTCGGGCCAGGGGCACCTGTGGCACCCCCCCGGGCCCTGTCGTCAGTCCCCGTGTGCCCGAGCAGGCAGGCTTTTCTTGCTCTTGTTAGCACCATGCGACCTCATTGTTGCCGAGGCCGCTCGCCTCGCGTGCGAGGGCCCAGCTTCGGCGGCGCGCCCAGGGGGGGCAGGCGCAGGGGGCGGGCCTCATCAGAAGGCTCCAAAGGCCGGCGGTCTTCTGAGAAGCTGAAGCTTTCTGGGCCTTGGGACATTTCCTTCGTCCCCTGGCGGGACCCTGGGGGGGAGGGGGGGAGAGGGCGGGCCGCGTCACGATTCGCGCCGGCGCCGTCGCGAATCGTGACGTGGCCCCACGGGGCGGGGGGGGGAGGGGGAGGGGCGGGGCCAGTCACGGGCGTCATCGCGCAGGATGGAGAAATCGCTCCTCTTCCACGGGGCTTCTCGGGAGGCCTGCCCCCTCGGCCTGGTCTTCGGGCCACGCCTCTTGGGCCTCCGGCGGCCGTCTGCATGGCACGATCCTGGCCGGCATCCCCGCGGGGCGCCCCTCGGCGAGGCGCAGCTGCTGGGGGGCAGCCCGTGCCTGGAGAGCCTGCGCGAGCCGACGAGCACCTCCGGAAGCGGCCTTCGCCTCGAGCCCCGTGGCACCGTTCGGACGTGTGCAATTTTTCTCGGCAGGGGCCGTCGAGGAGCACTGTGCGTCATCTTACGAAAATGGACATACGGTAGGTTTGCGTCGTGTCGACCATCGGCGACCCCGCCGCAGGCGTTCAAGGTGGAACGCCACCAGTGGCCCAGAATCGGCCCATATGGAACGATCGGGCGATCGAAAAGCCGCCAATCGTTCAAGGTTGAACGATCCACGCGGTGTCAAAAACCAACGCCGGGGTTGTCACGACACGAACTTGCCGTACACGAGACCGAAAAATGCACGGGGAATGGACGTCCGAGCGATGGCGAGGCCCACTCCTGGCCCCCTCGCGCTTCCCCCCCCCTTGGCGCGCCGCCGGCAAGCAGCTCCCCGCGGAGAAGCGCCCGGCGGCCCTGCAGCCCGGGCGCAGGTCTCCGCGGCCCTGGCCCGCCGGCTCAGTCGGTCGCAAGTCATGGGGGCCTCGTGTACAGTCGGGGCCCTGAAGAAGGAGACCTGTTCGTTGGGGAGGGGCCCCGTGTTCCTGAATTGTATCGCAGCTTGCCTTGGATCTTCTTCCTCAGGTTTTCGATGCGAAGTCGAAGTTCAACTGATGGAAAATTGGGGCCTCGTTCCTTATTCAGGGTTCCTTAGGTCAACGCCTCGACTGTACCCTCGCAGTTCCGCCTGTAGCGTCGATGAGCGTCGGGGAGTCGATGGGATAGCGCCGAATCGGGCGTCGGCTTGCGTCGATCAGCGTCGACCTAGCGTCGACCTGGCGTCGATTCAGCGTCGACTTGCGCCGATTCGCAAGAGCCGACAAGATGGTACGGTAGGTTCGTGTCGTGTCGACCAGCGGCCCGCGGCGACCCCGCCAGCGGCGTTCAACTTTGAACGCCGCGAGCGACCCAGAATCGCTCGATGTGGAACGATTTGGACGTTTCGGACACGGCCGATCGTTCAACGTTGATCGATCCCCGCGGTGTCAGAAACCATTGCAGAAGTCGGCACGACACGAACCTGACGTATGGGAGGCTCCCGTGAGTTGCCACCGAGGCTTAGAGACGAGGGCTCCCAAGTAGGGCCAGGCCCTCGCCCTCATCTCGTTGGCGTCGGCGTCCCCAGTTGCGCGCCGATGTGGCACCCTTTGACTCTCGTCTCCGAGCGCGTTCCACTACTCGCAAAGTGCCTACTCGCAAACGTCCGAAAAAACATATGTTTGCTTCGAGGGAAAGTATCGTAGATCCCCCGCGGCGACGGCGAATCCAGGCCATTTGCGAGTAACTAGTTACTTTGCGAGTAGTGGAACGCGCTCGTCTATCTCGGGCATTGCCAAAGGGAGGTCGCCAGTCTCGACGAAGAGAAAACGCCATATACATAAACTGCTGGCGCTCCGCGCAGATTTTTGTTGGGGGGGTTCCTCCTGAGGATGGAGGTTCCAGGATCGAAGCCCGATGGAGGCTTCTGGGCGTTCTTGGGGCTCTTTGGGGGGGGCGGGGGGGAGGGAGGTCCCCGGTCCCTCCTGAGGATCGAAGCCCTTTTGAGGGGGGGGGGTCTGCAGGCGGCCTCGCCGCCTCCTCCTCCTCCTCCTCCTCCTCCTCCTCCTCCTCATCCTCCTCCTCGCTTCCTCCAGGAGGTGGCGCTTCCTCGAGGAAGTGGCGATCCCCCCCTCACCCCCCTGAGTGGGGACCTTCCCCTGGCACTGCTCGGCGCTCGGCGAAGCAGTCAACGACAGCACGCTGATGTTCGAGGAAAAGAGGGCGGCATGAGCACAGACTTTCAACGGTCCGCGCGGATTTCTTGGATCTGCTCTGGGCCCCCCTGGCGGCACCTCCAGCACCCCCCCTATCGTTCCGCGCGCCAGCGAGAGGGTCCAGCGCAGATCCAAGAAAGCCGCGGGGACCGTCGAACATTTATGCTCATGCCGCTTTTTCTCCCTCTAGATGCGCGCCACATCGTGACAGGCAGTGGCTTGAGGACGGCGGCCTGGGCAAAAAGGCGCCGGCTCTTCAGCTTGCTCTCTTTGAACAGGACTTTTCTCAAACGCCAGGTGCAGTGCAGCCGCGCTATCGTCCTCGGCGGACTCAAGCTGAACCCCCAAAATACGCTTCTGAGCGGGAGAGGACATTCCACATCACCTCGCCGTTCTTGGCACCCAGAGTCTGATCACCGTGGCGAGGACGGTGGGTCGGGCGTCCAGTAATGGGGGTGCGATAATGGGGATGTTGAGGAAAGGTGCGCCTTTTGTGCTTAGAGGGTCCCTAATGGGGCCCCCTGGGGCCGGTGCCAGGAACGGCGAGGAAAAAACCTTGAGAACCATCGCCATGACTCCGAAATTGCATGAAGGCTGACCATCTCCCTTCCCAACTTTCCGTGTCCTCCTCTTGCCCCAGACCTGCCTCGGCACGCTCGGCCATCTCTCCCCTCTCCGCCTTTTCCTCTCTTTCCTTTTTGTTCCTCCTCCTCTTCCTCCTCCTCCTCCTCTTCCTCCTCCTCCTCCTCCACGCTCCGTCGTCTCGCTTCGCTTCGCCACGCTCCGTCGTTCCAGGCTTGATCTGATCGCGTGCAGCGCGAACCGCAAAGCAATCGAGTCGGCCAGAGACCAGGGAGTTCTGCCCTATCAGCGTGCGCGTCCCCAATTTCTTGCTCTCACTCTCAAGGCGCAGCTGTGGTCTCCTTTTTCGAAGAGACTGGTTCTGGTCGCAGTGCAAACTGACGGTGTCGTTGTGATAAGCCCTCAGCACAAGTACGACGAATGGTGGCCTGCTGGAAGCCCGTCTTCTCGTTAAAGCGCTGGTCACCAACCAGCGCCGCTACCTACCTGACCCGGCACTGCCCGAAGGCGAACGCTGCTGCCTTCTCCCCGCCTGCTTTCCACATGCTGCGCAGGGTGGAGTGCATACCTTACTGTGCTTGGCTGGCTGCTCCTTCTGGCCTCTTAGTGTTGTGGGAAGTGGTGATATGGTTGCTGGGTGGTCATTCGCTATTCCTTGCCAGCGGGGGCACTCTGCAGTCCTTCTTGCCAAAGGTCTCTGATCACGAAGACGATGCGATTATGGAGCAGGTCTCGCGACATTGCTCCAAGGTTCGAGTCTTGGGGCCTACGGAACACCGACGTGAAGTTGCTGAGCGCCTGCCTCGACTACGCCATCAGCCCTGTCGTTGACTCGGTCGTGCAATGGATCCAACGTGAATTTATTCGTGGCCGTAATTTCGGGCTCAACGTCCTCGACTTGGATGCTGCCGCCCGATCGGTCTCCATCTCGCCGGGTTCGGTCCAGCACACGCCCACATTGGTCTCCTTGGACTACGGCTAGGCATTCCCAAGCCTACGCCAGGCCAACTTGGGATTGGTCTTGCGTGCGATGGGCATGCAGATTGATTGCTGTCGTTGAGTTTGTGGTCACTTTCTACCGTACTGTACGCGCCGTCGGGTCCATCGCCGCGGCCCCGTTTCTGGTCAACATTGCTGTCTCCATTGAGGCGACTGGGCACGGGCGCGTTCGAGCATGTGAGGACGGCATAGGGGCCGTATTATTCACACCGTGCTTTTGTGAAGCTCGCTCGAATCATGCGGGTCGCTGCTCGCGTGGCTGCCCTGCGTCTCAATGGTGCCAGCTGTCACGTCGTCCCTCCCTTGGCGGCGTTCGCCGACACCACGAAGCAACATCTCGCTGAGCGTCTCGCTGCACTGGTACCCTGGGCGGATTTCCAGATTGCTGTGTCGGTGGTTTACTTGGGTGCTCTCATGGGCCCAGGCGTGACTCCAGCTGAATTCTGGGGGCCTGCCTTCTCCAAACTGCGCGGCAGGAGTAAGGCTATCGCACGCGGGTGTACGCCTGCCAGTGTTTCCGCACTGCTTGAAAACACCCGCGCGTTGCCTGTTTTGTCGTACCTGGCCTCGTTCGCGGTGCCGCCGTTTCGCTATGTTGGCGGATGAGTGCAGTACTTTAGCATCTGTATTCCGTTTTCCTGGAGGTGCTTTGCGTCGTGATGCTCGGCCGGTATTGTGGCTTTGGGGTGGCCCTTGCATCAATGGGTGGCGTTCCGTCCTGTGCGCTTCGGTGGTGCGTTGGGCAGTTTTTACATGCTCGGAACATGCTTCACTGATGTGCAAGCTGCGTCGTGCAGCTGAGCAGCGACGCCGGCAGCGGTATCTTGCCGAGCTTGCCCGTGAACCTCTGCATCCTCCTCCTCCTCCTCCTCCTCCTCCTCCTCCTCCTCCTCCTCCCACCTATCACCATCCTCCTCCTCTTCCTCCTCCTCCTCCTCTTCCTCCTCCTCTCCTCCTCCTCCTCCGCCTCCTCCTCCTCCTCCTCCCCCTCACGCGGGCGACGCGGGGGGCCACGCGGGCGTACAGCGATATTTCTGAGCAGGTTGAGCGAGCACGTTGGAGCATCGAGCGTTCCCGAAGCCTGCCCTGCAGCTCGCCGTCGGCGCCTGCCCGGGCATCGCTGGTTCCTGGGGTCTCTAGGCCTCATCCTCAAAGAGCGGCCGCTGCAACCCTTGCCCCTCCCGACCAATTGCGCGAACTACTCCGACAGCGTTTGGGGAAGCTGTTCCACATCGTGTCGACGACATCGCTGCGGTGGACTGGCAGGAACATCGTGCCGTGCTGCGGAGTGCCCCCACATGTGTCGCTATGGCTCTTATCCGTCCGATGGCAGATGCATGGATGACGTCTCAACGGATTCCGCATCGCGACGGTTTACGGCCATGAATTTTCTGCGGCGATTATGGTTTCATTGAGGGTTCCGACACATTCGTACATTATCAGAGTTATTCTGAGATCGTGATCCCAGTATTAGCCTTCCTTCGATTACCTCGTCGGCTGTCCAATCAGCACATCGATCCCTGCAAGTTCTGAAATAGGCCTCTTACAGCAGCGAGCCCTCTGCAGTGCCTGCCGTCATGCAGCGCTAGTCTTGTTCGACAGCTGACCTCTCTGGTACGCTGGGTCCTCCTCTTCCTCCTCCAGCAGGCAGGCAGGCAGGCAGTCCGATCGAGTCAATGCTCGGCCCAGAATCGGACACGACTGTGTTGAACCTCAAGCCTCACTCTTGGAGCCCGAGGGAAAAACGCACAAAGTCCTCTTCGTGCTCGTGAGAAGACTTGTCCGCACTCACTTCATGCCATTCGCTTTCATTATACTCCCTTGCAAACTTGCCCACATAGTCGTCCCATCTCACAGCGGGTCGTCCGCGTGATCGTCCAGCCTCAGGACACGTTGCAGGTGGGTGCCAACGCGATACTCTTGCAGGCCAGCTGTCCGACATCGTGCCAACACGATGAGCCAGCCTGTATTGCCGTCGCATCCGCTGAAATTGGGACACCCGTTGAAATTGGAACGGCACGGAGAATCTTAGTGTGGCCCCTGCGCAAGGATGACACGCGCAAATCGAGAAGGGTATGCATGTTTTGCCTTGCGCTCGTCTCCTCCACCTTGTCACTGTCACAATCCTGCTCCTTCTCCTCCTCCTCCTCCTCCTCCTCCTCCTCCTCCTCCTCCTCCTCCTCCTCCTCGAGTTGGTGCGGTGTGCTGCGTGCCTGATGGAGGCGCCCACCACCGAGAGCTGCCGCTCAAGCCTCGATCTCGCGAGCCGTGCCGAACGGTCCCTCGGGTCCCCTCGTCCGCGCAATCCCTTGCCGGCCAGTCTCGCTCCTCCCCCTCCCCGCCTCCTCCTGGGGGGGGGTCCGCTCGAGAGCAGCTCGAGCAGCCCCCCCTTCCCCTCCCCGCCCGACGTCCGTGTTGTGCGCAAGGGTCCCCCTCACTGCTGGTCCCGCACCTCACGACCTCTCAGAGGGCAGGAGAGGGCGCATTCGGCCTGTAGCATCAGCCTCAATGACGGTCGCAGGCGCTCTATCATAACGTTTCCTCAGGAGTCTCACGCGTGTAACGAGTTGCTGGTTCCGAACCTCCAGAGTCCATAGTCCAGAGCTCCTGTTTGCAATAGACAAACATGAGCGACGAGGCTGTTGCGTTCGCCAGAGTCCTTCTCCTGTTCCACCTCGGTCGGTCGGACTCGGCACTGCAGCAGCCTGCGCCCCGTCTTGCCGAAGGCTCTCACCCCGAGAGCCAAGAGGGGAGAGTGCACTTGCTGCCGCGACAGTGCGGAGACGGCAGCGCGGCGCGGAGTGGCCGAGCCGCCTCTGGGAACCCAGCGCAAGGAGGAGGAGGAAGAGGAGGAAGAGGAGGAAGAGGAGGAGGAGGAGGAGAGGAAGAGGAGGAGGAAGAGGAGGAGGGGGAGGAGGAGTAGGAGGATGAGGAGGAGGCAGAGGAGAGGAGGAGAGGAGGAGAGGAAGGAGAGAGGAGGAGGAGGAGGAGAGGAGGAGGGGTGAGGAGGAGGAGGAGGAGGAGGAGGAGGAGGAGGGAAAGGCGGCAGCCAGCGCGCCGCGAGCAAGCGGCAGCCAGCGTGGGGCCACGCAGTGCAGAGTGGCATGGGGAGCAGGGTGCTAGCCCTGCCCTCGCTGGTCCACGATGCAGGCAGCTCGATTGGCGGCGAGGGTAGGGCTCGGAACTCGTCGAGCACGCCGCGAAATCCGAGCCCTGCCCCCGCCTCCCATCGGCCCAGGAGAGGCGATTGTTGGCGGGGGTGGGGTGCGGGTGCCGCCACCTACGGGGGGCGGCGAGACCGCCAGGAAGAAGAGTCGGTGCGGAAGCCAAGGAAAACATGCGGTCGGCCTGGAGCGACGACGACGACGACGACGACGGCGGCGGCGACGCCGACGGCGACGCCGACGCCAAGCAATGCGTGCAACCCCGGAAGATTGCGATGCAACCCGGGACGGGCGCATGGAGAAGGGCGCGCCCAGCCCGGATCCAGCGGGCCCCTGCCGCAATGGGCTCCCTCGAAGGGGGTAATTCGGCGGCGGGGGCTGTCGGGGACAGCATCGCGGATCGCGCCGCAGCGCTGCTGCAGCCAGAGCTCACCTCGCGCACCGAAGCGCCGCGGAGGAGGAGGAGGCGGAGGAG